GAGCATCCTCATGAGTAACGAATCAACTGAGAGATATAAACCCAATAAGCAGGTGATAAGGGTATATTGCTACATAAGTAAGGGAAGTAGACGACTGAAAAGTTAAAGTCATCACGTTTATCATAAAGCTCGGTTGTTAGATTACCATTTACGTCTTTTTCTTGTAAAATATCCAAATATGAAACAGATGCGCCAGACTCTCTGGTATCTTTTATTTCAAGTTCACTTGGATATATCGTACATTCATACATATGAATGGAAATAACTATTGTTAATTGATAATACGTCGTCGATATATCTAAATGTCGAGTCGAAGGCCAAAGCAAGTGTTTTCTTCTTCCCATGTATAGGATTTTGAATAAATTCTGCTTCATGTGAATACAAAAATAGGTCTGCTAATAACGGGGCGCAATTGGTACCCATTGGAATTCGAACAGACTGTTGGAAGACCTGGTCTCCAAAAACCACATAGATATTGTCAATCAGAAACACAAGCATCTTTTTTAATATCAACTTCAGAGTACTTGTGTATACAATCAGAATGTTTTTTTTAACAAAATAATTTTGCAAATGACCAATGACAAGGTATATGTAAGTAAATTTACAAGTTCCATTTTTATTGAAGCAGTTGTCTATGATGTCAAAAAGCCTGGACTTCTAACTTATTGTGGGGAATAGTGGTTTAAAGTGTTGAAAAGTCTTACGTTTTGATGTTATTGATAAAAATTTGTGATTTTGGGGTAAAATGTATGAGGAGTTATGGGAACCGGGTTTCTGTAAAAAAAAAAAAAACAAAAAACAAAACAAGAGGTCCATGGGCAACATCGCTCACCTGAGCACATTGGCTAGGAAAAAGCACAAATCAGTTCAGTGTTGAAAAGTTTACATGGGGGGGGGGGGGGACTTGAATTTTAAACTAACTGAGGGTGCTTCCATATCAGTATAACAAAGGGTTTAGCTATTCTTGAGCAGATTTTTTCTTGTATATTATTCCTTTGCAAAAATTTGATCCCCCATTGTGGCCCCTCCTATCCCCAGGGGTCATAATTTGTACAAACTTGAATCTACACTACCTGAGGATGCTTCCATATCAACTAGACTAAACATGGCTTTTCTGTTCTTGAGAAGAAAATATTTGTCTAAATATTCCCATGTAAGACTTTGATCCCCCATTGTGGCCCCTCCCTACCCCCAGGGGTCATCATTTGAACAAGCTTGAATCTTCACTACCTGAGGATGCTTCCATATCAATAAGACTAAACATGGTTTTTCTGTTCATGAGAAGATTTTTTCCTGTATATTCCTACGTAAAACTTTGATCCCCCATTGTGGCCCCATCTTATCCCTTGGGGTCATGATTTGAACAAACTTGAACCTACACTACCTGAGAATGCTCCTATATCAATGACTAAACATGGTTTTGCTGTTCTTGAGAAGAAGATTTTTTCATATATTCTTTTGTAAAACTTTGATCCCCCATTGTGGCACCACCCTACCCCAAAGGGGTCATCATTTGAACGAACTTGAATCTACACTACCTGAGTATGCTATCATATCAATTGAACTAAACAAGGCTTTGCTGTTCTTGAGAATAAGATTTTAAATTTTTTTCCTATAAATTCCTATGTAAAACTTTAATCCCTCATTGTGGCCCCACCCTACCCCCCGGGGTCACGATTTGATCAATTTTTAATCTACACTACCTGATGATGCTTCCATATCAATATGACTGATCTCAGCTTTGTTGTTCTTGAGAAGTAGATTTTTTTTAAAAAAAATTCCTATGTATTCCTATGTAAAATTTTTATCCCCTATTGTGGCCCCACCCTACCCCCGGAAGTCATGATTTGAACAAAATTGAATCTACACTATGTCATGAAGGTTTCACATAAGTTTCAACTTTTCTGGCTTAATGGTTCTTGATAAAAAGATCTTTGAAAGATGACAACAAATTTTCACTAATTCTAATTATCTCCCCTTGAAATGGGGTGTGGCCCTTTATTTGAACAAACTTGAATCCCCTTCAAACAAGGATGCTTTGTGGCAAGTTTGGTCAAAATTGGCCCAGTGGTTCTTGATAAGAAGTCGAAAATGTGAAAAGTTTACAGACGGACAGACAGACGGACGCCAAACAAAATGTGATCAGAAAAGCTCACTTTAGCTTTCAGCTCAGGGAGCTAAAAAAAGGTTCTTTTTCCACCCCCATTCGACCCCTAGGGTGAAAATGAACATTCTGAAACCTTATTGCACATCTACAGTACACCAACTATCATTTTCAAAAAGATCAATTGGTTACTGCTTAAATTGTAAGAGCCGTTAAAGGAAGAAGAAAGTGTGACAGACGGACACTGATAACAACAATATATTACCTGAACTTAAAAAAGTGCTGCTATAATAATGGTTGAGATTCCAACCCTTAGAGCAAATATATTTTTTCTGCACATGACACAATGCAATGTGCACCAGGTTTTTGTGCATCCTTTTCAACTTCCAGTTTGGCTTCAGGGTGAAAATGAAAATTCCAAAACCTTATTGCACATGTACAGGACACCGCCAATCACCTTCCAAAGGATGAATTGGCTACTGCGTAAAATGTTAGAGCTCTGGGAACCAGCAGGCATGCTATGGAAAGGTTCTTAGGAATAGTCTTCAGATATGACTTAAGAGGAGACAAATTTTAAGATGGTCCCAGGACACTTCTTAAGATAGACATAGAAGCTTATATAAGATTAAATATTACCCGAATAAAAGATATAAACAATAACTTGGACTGTTTTTATGCAAAATTAGAATATTTATTCTTATTACAAGTGTGTCTTATGATAAGAATATTTTTCTCATTTCATAATTCTCTCTCTTGCTGTGTGTGTGCGCGCTCCATGATAGAGATTATAAAAAAATATGTTGCACATTGTGATTCTAAAAACTTAAATATCATATCATATTTCACTTATTTTACATAAATATTTATATGTATTTAAATTAATTTTATATACAAACGTGCATTTCATTTTCTCTGAGAGTTATCTCCAGCGCGTGAGACAGACAGAAATACAGATAGACGGACGAAGACAGAGCGAAATTAATATCCCCCACTTTCATTGAAAGCGGAGGACAATAATAGCCTAACAATTTGTATGAAGATGTCAGTCATCATGATTCGACTTGATAATAGATTGTGTTTGTACACAAGGTAATTTTATCGACAATAGAATTTGCAAAATGTTGACTTTAAATGAGATTGTTGATATCCTTAGCTTGCATCATGTACTTATCTGTCAATAGCCTGTCTCATTTAAGAAATTGTTCATACATGATTTGCGAATGACTATCGAACTGGCAGACATAGCTCCATATGCAGGTGATAATGGTATATTGCTGCATTTAAATAAGGGAAGTTGAAGAAAGAAAAATTGAATTCATCACGTTTATCATAAAGTTTAGTTGTCAGTTTGCCATCAATGTCTTTCTCTATCAAAACATCCTAATGTACAACAGATACGCCAGACTCTGGAGTTCATTGGGATAGATTGATTCAGCGTAGGAATGAAACTGAATATTGTTGATTCAGTTGATAAAACGTTACAAGACTCAGCATCCGAAGCAAAGTTTGGTAGTGTACATCCATAGATGCATCATCCATTTGACATACCGGTAGTCTTATAGGAACCTGGGAATGAACCTCTTTAAAAAACCTTAATTTGTGATAATTATGTTTCAGCAATAATAAAGACTGCACAAGCTATTTTACATACGGTAAAACACTCTTATAGCGAACATGCTTATAATAAATTGATGCTTACAGCGAAGTGATTTTCATTCCCCGTGACTTTAAAATATATTGTAAACTTAACGGATATAATGAATTATGCTTATAATGAAGCAAAATGGTCCGTCCTTTGCACTTCGCTATAATCGTGTTTTATCGTATTTCTATAACATATTTTTTTTAGTATACTAGGTCCTTAAGTTAATTTTTTTCAAAAATCATAACTAAGCATTTCTTTGTGACCTTTAGTGCCAACTTTGATGACTAAGGAAGTTAATCAGGAAATAAAGTTCTCACATGTATGGGATATTTGAACTTTGACAGGCAAGGTCAGTTGTCTTTGTACTTATTCTTCCTTGAACTGATAAAAGAATGTTGAATTTATGAAGAAATTTTACTCCTTCTTCGTAGCTTACTACTTCAGTATCTTGAGAACCATATAAAAAATGTACAGTACCTAAATAGATAAACAATTCCTCCAAATATAAATGTAAACTTGTTTTAACATAACTCCTATATGGGATGGAGTATTCTTGTTTACAATGTCAACAAAACAGAAACGAAAAGAAATGTTTAAGTTTTCACATTATAAAAGAGTTTTAATTTCATTTAACACTATATACATGGTTTTGTATTCACATGCTATTTACAGGATGAATTTGTTCACATGAAAATCTATATATAAATCTATGGGAAAAAACATAAATTTACATTCTGTACACAGTAATATGGAAACAAGAAATCCCTGAAGAGGTTTATCACCAGCACTGTGATCAAATGAAATGTGATTATGCAAATTTTAACATATCTGTACAATATTAGTTATAAAATTACATCATTTTCAAGGCAATTTTAAGTATGACTATGTATTAGTTTTAGTTTAATGCTTTAGCAAACTAAAACATGTTTCATGGGATGAAAAATTTTGCATCGAAAAAGCTACATGTATATAGTTAAATAAAACACACTATAAAATATATTGCCAAGTTTCTAAAATATCATTTTTTTTTTTACCAGTGAGGCTACAACAGTTTTCCTGCAGTTAAAAGGAAAATGAGAAATATAAATAATAAACATATGAAAATAATATATGAGGACAGAGACACCTTAAAAAAAGGAAGAAAAACACCAGAAAGCAACAATGAACTCATTTGGTAACAAGTTAACAATAATTAATGACAAGCAGACCTATCTTAACAAAATTAAAAAGAAGTGGTTTTGCATATTAAAGACCAAAAACTAAATTTAAAAAATTGCATGCAATAAAGTTTTTTAAATCATATTAAATAATTTTGTTTAAAATTATATGTTCAATAAATATAAATAAGATGCCACTATAAAACACCATTCATCAAAAGTCAATATACATAAATAATATTTTAAAAAAAAAATCAATTAAAAAAAAATGAATTTCTTGTGTTTCTTGTTCAGTGTCATATTGTGCATCAAAGATTTGTTCGAAGACTGTGCAAGCTATGAATCACCTATACAAAAAAAGATGTTTTAATATTATCATTAACTCCTGATCAAAGGTCCAGATAATCTTCTTCTCATTATTTTTGCTACACAATTAGAAAGATATTTAAAGCAATGATGAATATCGAAACAGGCTTTGAACTATAAGCAATGAAAAAACAAAAATGAAATATAAACTAATCTAACATCCTATGACAAAATGGACTTGTGCTCAAAATTATTTGTCACCCAGATTTCAAGTATTACCCATCTTAACTCACACTCAAATCAAAAATATAAAATTAATAAGGTAAATACAAAATCTTTGTTCCCCCTACCCTGACAAGTTATAATTAGATTTAAGAATTTTCTTTTCTATTAAATAGTAAAGGTATTAGAGAGAGGTTAACTACCATAACTGCTATAACATGGAAACATTCTTTGCAAAGAAATAAAATATTCATCTCTTTCTAGGGCAATCATTGGGATGAGAGGTGACCACAGAATTTCAGATTAAACCCAATACTCTGCATTTTCATTGAAAAAAGGATGTATCATTAATAGAATGCACAGGCAAATCAGTAATTAGTCATCTACAAGTGTCAAACATAAAATTAACAGATAAAATAATGAAATGGAAAACATTTTTGATTCCATGGTATTGTGAGAAATTGAGTATTAAAATGAAATCACTCTGCAAAATACTTTGGCAAATGCATAGAGGTTTGTGCTGACATTCTAAAATAGGACAGAATTAAAAAATATGATAGCAATGCACAACCATATATAGATTGAATATATCTAGCACTATCTACGGCAAGCTTTTTTTGTCTGTGGTACGCTATCACTGCTATTTCTTTTCCGCTTGACACCTGTGATTGTTATTGCATTTGCTTTCACTTTGTTTTCTACTTGACCTCGACACCGCAGGGACCGTTGCTTTCCTTTTCTCAGTTTTGAGGCCACACATGAAGCCTTTTTACTTTCTATTGCACCAACAGAGTGTCTCCTTAGAAAATGTCCCCCACATTCTGTATTGCTCCCCTTAATAATGGTGTCCACTTTCAGATCTTTCTGACTTCCATCCTCTTTGCTAGCTCGCTGATTCATATCACTGTTTGTTCGCACCTTGATCTCACTTTTGCCACAATCCATGAAATTCTGAACATCTTTGAGGCTACAAGCAGATATGGGAGGTTCCACTTTCTTCATGCTTTTCTCGGTTATGTGAACTCGGTTGGTCTGATAAGGCTTCAAGCTGTCTGTGAGAACTGAGAGATCTTTCAATGAAGATGCAGTAAAAATCTGGTTTTTCACTGGCTTCTGGTTTTGATCTAAACTTTTCTGGACTTTGTGTGACTGAAGGATCACATTTCCAGAGTGGTGCCTTGCCCTTGTAATTGGAACACCCTGTGTGGAAGTATTGACATCTAGATCTGATTTGCTCCCTTTGAATCTTGCAAACACATTGGAACAACTGAAGTTCAGCTTCTCTTTGGCACATGTTCCCTGCACAAGGGTTGCCTTGAAGTGGACACTGTTAGCTTGAATACTGTCGTCCAGTTCAGAATTGACTGATGTGTGTAAGGATAAACATTTCGATTTTTCGTTTGAGACAGAAGAGATAACTGTTTTTGTTGTTACACTATGTGGGTTCACTCTACTTGTCACCTTTTTCTTATTCTCCTCTTCTTTGACATTCTTCACATTCTCAGGTTTTGAAACAGTTTCATGTTTTCTGGGTGATGTCCTTGTGGAAGATGAGGCTACATTTTTCTCAGGTGCTATCTTCTGGAAATACTCCTCCCTTTTCCTTTTGAGAATCGATAGTTTTCTGGGTCCTAGAGGGTCAATCAGCACCACAATACAACTTGTGTTGTCAGCCTTCATTAGCTTAGCCCTCCATGAGTGCAAAGCCTTCTGAACTAGTTTTTCTGCAGGATTTATCCAGTAAGACACAGGTACATTCTGAAAAAGAAAAAAAAATCACAAAATACTAAAGAAAGAAAGACAACTCTTACAAGCCTCTGATGCGAGAGAATAATTTTAACACATACCAGACACATGAGTGGAGGAAGGTGTGAATCAATGGGCAAAAAGAAATCACTCGATCGAGTTGAATATTTTCAGCATTTTAAGAAATAAAAAGTTTAAGTGAAAAAATATTACAAAATTACATGTACGTTATGCATGCATTTTCTTTTCATTAACTGTTCAGATATTTCTGAGTTTCAAAAAGCAAAGATTATATGCAGTCAGTACTAATATCTTTGTAATCCATACAAATGTGAGGTGTTTGTCTGAGGGCCTACAGAGATTGAACATTACAGGGTTCTCATTAATGCAAGAATCTGTATACTGGATGTAGCAAAATTATTTGGGATGCAAGGTTTTTAATAATGATGCGTCCGCGGACTCATGAATGGACGAATAAATTCTGGTGTCTTCAAAATTCGAAGCTTTCAGATGTCAGGATTTGTCAAAAAAAAAAAAAATTAAATGAAAACTTTCCTGTAAATATTATCAACAGCTGATTAAGTAAGTAAGTTTATCCAAGAAACATATTTTCTTGCATCTATTTTTATATTTAAATAGGGATATGACTGATTACAAGATATTTATTATTATGATTATTAGGACCTACTCCAAACTGTGATAGCTGCAAACAACACATGGTAGCTTTTTCTTTTCTTTCTTTCTTTTTTTTTTGTAACAGGGATCGACATTAAAGGTTGTCCCATTGCCCGGGGCAAGTAAATTTCTGATAGATTTTTTTTTATCTTACATTAGTTTATAAACAAAACAATAAATTGAACATTTGATTTCTACCAGGAATATGACACTGTTTTTGCATTCGGAAATTCCTAGATCATACCGTTTATCAAAAAAATCGGGTTCGTTATTCCGTTTTTCTTTCCTGGTAGCTAGTTGACAAAAATACACTTCCGTCTGACAACTTTCTTTACATTCTTATGAAATAAGATATAATAAAATAGTTTATTTATTAACTCACACAATATAAAGAACACAAGTTATTCTTGGTGCACAATGTATTTTGATCAGGACATGTGTGTTTTGAAACATGGCAACTATTTTCCTTTAGCGTTGCTTCAGTTTTTTAGGGGGGGGGGGGGGGGGGGGAATCAAATTCACAAAAAAAGATCGGACAAATTTTTTCCCCTCAAAAATACGAATTTTAGTTTTATGAAAATATTACTGCATAGCAGTGTGAGTTTACAAATATTTTAAATGAAGCATCAGCAGCAGATCAAATTTTTTTTCTGGCACTTAACTTTCCAAATATAAAGTAATATCTCACATAATTTACAAAAATAAATTAAGATACCAGTTCTCTTCTTTCTAAATTTTGGGCAACCAAGTTTTGCATTCGGACAAGTCAAAGTTTGAGTTCACTTGCCCGAAGGACAAGTGAATCTGAAAGTTAATATCTATCCCTGTGTAACATTTTTGAATCTTGTTTTATCTCGAGACCATAATTACTGCTTGTATACACAATGTGGCTTGATTGTCTCATGAATTTCACCCAGTGCAGATGACTGACAGCAGTCTATGCGAAAGTCTAAAATTTTTACAGGACATATGGTCTGGTAAAAAAAAGATATTTTACCAGACCAAGTATTTACTTACCAGACCGACCTTTTTCTTTAAATTCATACATCATTATGATACAGAGATCGAAAAGGGGGGAGTGTATTCTCACTGTTAAATTGAATCTTAAATAGATCCAGAGTTGAGATATTTAAAAAAAATGATTTTATTGAAATGAACAAACTTATTATTGTTTCCTTTTTAAAAGGTAGTGCATATGAAAAATGCATACAATTTTTTCTTTTTCTGGTTATTTGACACATACAAACGAAATATAACAGAGTAAAAGATTTTTTTTTATACTTAAAATGCACTTTTAATTAAAATATATTTATTTCCTGAAGTAACTCTAAATAGTTACTCTTGTTTAATAATGAAAATAATCTACCCAACCGAATCTACGTATGAGCTATCTATAGATCTATATTCCATGACGGAGGAAATTTGAATTAGAAATAACCGATCATGACAGGGTTGATATAGGTTAAAGTTAATTATGCATTACTGCTAAATGGATCGAATAAAGGATATGTGTGGAAAATAAGATGATATGAACATTTAAATTCAGATTTTTACGCCTCATTTTTTCATCAGACATTTGGTCCTGCATCCTGAATTTTTTTACCGACCCAAATCAAATTTTACCAGTAAAAACCGACGGCCCAGTGACTTTCGCATAGACTGCTGACAGGATTAGTTACGCCTAATTGCAAATGACACCTGTGATGTATACAGTCAACTTTAGAGCACTTGATTATGCAATGTTTCTTTTAGAAATGTAAACACTGTATTAATTTTGATGGTAATAAGTTATAAGTGTACATGTATTTTAGAATACAGCTGGCATGCATTATCATTATCTATATATATTTGAATATTTTAATAGATCATATAAAATAAATGTATGTTAGAATAAAGATTTTTTTGATTTTTGGATGGAAAGATACTCTATTAGGACTCACTACAATTTTTCTGGGAAGCATCAAATTTAGCTGGGACTCAACTTTCTCAAAAACCTTGAGTCCTGGGACTCGAGTTAGCAAAATATTTCATTTTTAATTCAAAATACTTCCAAGTGGGAATTTTTGGAGTGGGTAATACATACCCCTCCCCCCACCTCCAATTCCCAAGAGAAAAACAAAAAATCCTGGACCCACCTTTGATTTTGTTTATTCAATTTATGGATATGCATCTTACAGTGAACATGCACATATTATTTACCGAGCCAATGAAAAATATTCCATCAATATACATGAAAAGATGTCAGCAATCTCACAGCAATGCATATTGTCGTGCGGCTTTTCTGGAGCACAAAACACACTGGTCAATGGAATCCATTATTAAAGTCATATATGTGGTGTATTTTTGACTAAGTTCAAATAACCAAAATTAAAAATATCTTTCTATTTGATTTATTTAACGATAGGACTTTTGTGTAAATTACACAATTTAAATCAACCGCGTTTCAAAGAAACCAAAACATTAAAACAATAAACGATTTATTTAACCCACTCCACATTTAAATAAAAGACACATTTAAAGTCAATTTAATTATAAAAACGTGAGGGTATTCAAGTTAAAAATCAATAAAAATTTTAATTTGAACGTAAATAACATTATGTCATATACATCTACACTCAATCTCGCATTATCATTTTTTAGCTCAGATACGCCATATATTGCTTTAAAATGATTTATTTTCTACAAAATTTCTTTTTTAGCTAAGAAAAGCTAAATTCATTGGTGGATCAAAACATTCACGGCATTAAATAATTGTGCTTAGCTTTCAGTAAATTTGAAAACTAAACAATATTTTCGTCCCGAGGGGCTAACATAATCAATGTTGCCCCAAACCACAGTCAATAATTTTTTTGTTAGATGAAAAACAAAAGAAATCAATAAAATAGAATTTTGATTTCTTTCATTAAAATTCAGAAACCCATTTGTATCCAATGCATTATTCTGCATGTTGACTGTTGTACTAGTGAATCTTCAAGTTGCCATGATTGTGTTACTTGATTTTTTATTGTGATGTTATGTTTTTTGAAGAGTCGCGACAGTATCATTATGTCAATAAATCAATATCCTAATCAGAATCAATATAGTGGGAAAACTCTCTTTGCTGGTCAATAGTAAATATTTAATGATCATCAATATTTTTCATCGCAGATAATATCAATTATGTTGACTGTATCTCTATATGGAGAATATAGATACAATTCTTTACTGAATATAACAAAAACATATCTCTCTGTGATTACGAATTTGCAAGAAACAAAGGTTTTGCAAGCACTGTACACACCATAAATTTCACTGCAACAGAGTAAGCATAATCAAACTAGTGAAGGACAACATACTAACCGGATCATGGATAACTTTGTATTCAAAGTGGTTCTCCAAATCAGCCACCATGCTTGCTGCTGCCTCAGCTGTCATCATATTCCACAATCCGTCCGATCCCAGGATCAGGCACCTGTGAATGGCTGGATCCAGTTCATGGACAGCTACATCCGGAACAGGGGAGACAACATATTCGTTGTTTTGATAGTTGAAGCTCCATAAATCACCTGAAGAAGTTAAGAATATGTTTTGGACTATGTCTCTGATATTACGCCAAATAATTGTAAGTGGCTTCAACATGTTTCCAATAATTTTCATGTATTCATATCTGGGAACTATTCATCAACCATTCATAGAGCAAGAAACAAACAGCAGAATATGAGAAATAAATTTGTTAATTAACTTAGGTTAACTGCATTAGCAGTAATAGCAATTGTTACCCAAACTTCTTGCCACAGCTAGGAATGGTATCTTGTCAATTGGAGTGCTTCTCCGTACTGGACCCTTGTTGCTGATATTGGGGCGGTTCCACACCACTCTCTGGACTCCAGCTTTGGCAACCACTTGACCTCCAACCCTTCTAATTCGCTTTATCTCCTCAGGACTGTCTGGCTTGTGGTCCTAAAATGTTTTCAATTTCTTAGCAATTACTTTGAGAACCAAATTTTAAATGAATTTTATTTTGTCATTTTGAACAAATGTTTTTGATAAGGATAAATCTATGAAAATCTGAAATTCATATAAACTGACTAAAAGAATTTTATATGTATATATATTCTAATTATATTCTTATGAATTATTCATAAACAGAGTGTTAAAGAAAAACATTGATCAATTTGATTTTCAATTTTTTTTCACCCCAAAAACAATTTAAGCGATACATTTATATGTTGTTTTTCAGGAATTTCATTTAAAAAAAACAAAACAAAAAAAAACCCCAATTGCCATGTTTTTGATTTCTCCCACTATTTTGGTATAAATGTGTATAACTTTTCCCTCTTCAAAAGCCAAATTTAGCTTTGAAAATTTGTGAAACTCCCTAAATGGTTTCATATGTGATGGAATAACAAAGACACACACACTGTTTACTATTTTAATGTATATATTGAAAGTAAATAACAACCAAGTACTATGTTATAAATATCAGCAGAAGTCAGTATTTAAAATTTCTAGATTTCAAAAATTTTAAATAATGCTCAGAGAGAAAATATACCTGTGTAAGCATAACCCCAGGTACAGGGCGTTTTTCACATCTTCTGTCTTGTTCATAACCAAGAGCTACACCTGAGTCGCCAACATGACCAATGTACAGTTTGGAGTTTTTGATAATTGCTATGCTGCCTGTTGTACCAGATGTACTAGGATGACCGCTTGCTGTCCTTGACCATTTGCCTATGAATGTTAAAGGGGTTAGTGCCGAGAATTTTAAAATAATCACAATATATATGGTTCATCAACAATTAAACAGGTTGGGCACAGTTCCTTTTTCGAGGAAGTATTTTTATCACTGCAAAATGCTGAAAAAGAGTGATGAAATATTTTTACGATATAAATTTTTTACGGAAGCTTATCTGTGTTAAAAATATGAGATTTAATACGTTCAGCACTTGCTAACTCGTTCATGAAATTATTCGTTCTAATTTAATTTTATATCATTTCTTTCAAAGACATCGTAAAAAATAATTTTTATACCACTGCTTCTTTTACAGATTAAAATAATTATTTGAAATATTAAATTTTAAAAGATAGTCTTTCAAAGATGGTTTTAGCATGAATGCCCTTCTAAGATTCCATACTTTTCGTATCATTTATCAACAGGGAAAATTAAAGTAAAAGTCGTGGACTACTGCTGCACGTGAGTTTAAATTTCTATGCATGTTTAAAACATGTCACCTCCACGAAACCAAGCTATGAATTTTTCCGTTTTTGAACAAATAATAATATAACTTATAAGGGAAATATTCCCATCGTTTGAAGAATACTCATGATGTCGTACGATTAAATCTCGTCTTACTCCTGTCTGCAGCACTAAAGGACCGAATTATTTTGTCAGCAGTTTAATAAAGTTTAAACACATCACATCGTATTTTTCATGCACTTTTTATTTAATAAATGGATTTGGGGCATTATTTTAAAAAATATGACGAAAATTCCCATCTACAGTAATGTTTTTTATTACTGAAAAGAGGAATAATCCCGTTTTATAGTAATACTTCCTCAAAAAAGGAACTGTGCCCAACCTGTTAAATGATTTCAAATTATATATTATCAATATTATATAAATATACATAAAAATGTTTTGATCATCACCATCACATGTCAATCAGGAAATACAAGACTAGAATTCTTTTAACTGCACCCTGAAAGCAACATGCATTTCAAATTTCGTCATTCTATTAATAGCACTTGCCTTACTCAATTTTTTACTGATAGAGAGTTAGGGGTTTACAATGGAGAAAAACATTTTAATATAAAATTCTTTTTCTGCCATTTTCCTTTTTATAAATCACATTCAGTAGAGTTTATCATTGTAGGTTTTAATGTATTACTTATATTCATTTTTTAAAGGCAAACAAAGATAAAAATAGAACATTTCCCCTTTTATGGCCTCAATAGGAAATCCTCAAATCGCGCGCGATTGAAAAGTCAAATTTTGTTTCTAATAAATGGAGCTTCGTAAATCTGACTATTCCATACTTGCATACTACATTAAACACACTGTATTTCAAATTTCCTTATGAACGAAATTGGGACGGCATAGGCTAATCGATGAAAATATCGTGGTGACCGCGCAGTTCAAAACTCATCTTACCAACTTCCTTCCACATGAGTTCCTGGGTGTCGAGAAAGCCATTCTTAATAGCAGCCAAAATCTGATCATCTTCACCATTCCAAAAGTAATCATACTTTTTAATTTGATTCAATAAATGATCCCGAACAAATTTAGACGCCTCAGAACCGCCATGACCATCGAATATTCCAAAGTATGCAAATTCATAACCTCCCTCGTCGTTTCTAACAAATTGTATTGAATTATTATCTTCCATATACTTCCTCCCGCCTTGGTTGCTGTTTTCTGTCACCCGTAGATTTACTCCAATTTTGTAATTAGACATTGTAAATAATGGAGACGACAAACTGTTTTCAATCGGGCTTCATGGAGGAAATTATATCGAGGACGACTGATACTGCGATTTGATTGGATGAATTTGTTTGACTCGGTAGAATGATATTTCAGATTCGTATAAGTAAAAACGGAAAATATGGTTCTTAAAGTTGCGAGTCAGATTTTTACATTGAAGAATCAAAATGAATTTCTATGTAAAAAAAAAAATGATATAAAAATCTTTAAAATATTTGACATATTTTTTTTCTTGCAAACATTGTATCGTGTTTTTCCCCTAAAAGTATTATATCGTCTAATGGAAATGAAACAGCATTCCATAACCCACTTTATATTTCTTGAGCCCGGATTTTCTCTCCATTTGGCTTTCATTTTGAAAATATTAACCATTGAAAGCAATGTAAATATGCGGAAAAAGGCCAAATAGATCACCATGCAATTGCTTATCCGTATACCGCGGAGGGCAATGACACGTGAACTAGTTTCATATACACCCACACACCTAACTCCACCTAGTTAATGAGGTTGGATCCTGATATTCTTTTTGTCAAGTATATTTTTAGGTTCTACAGACATAGCTTAATTAAAAATCAAAACAAAAAATGGGGGTCATTATGCTTTTTTTGACGCTACAGTACATTTAATATGACCTTTTTGCACTGAAATTTGTGTCTTAATAAAAAATCACATCTTCGAAGTTTTCTCTCCAATGTTTTTATCCAAATAAATCATGGGACAAAATAAAAATAAACTATTAGCCTATTAAAAAAAAAAACATTAAAATTGTAACTAAGGAAAAGTTTCAAATTGCTCCTCATAATCAATTATTTGGCCTTTCTGCCCACTCACAAAATGTTATTTTTCTGGCATTAAAAATTTAACAAGCAAGAAAATTATTTTTACGTCTCAAATTTTTGCTGAAATTAAGCAGATTGATCAAAGTTATCCTATATATTCAGAAAAAAAAATCAAAAGTGAGGGTCTATGATGTAAAATTTCAGAAATTCCTTTAAAAGTGTTAATTTTCCGTTAAAATTGGTTCATTTTTTCCCTGGACTTTCAGAATATATTTACTATATTTGTCACAATATGTTGAAAGAATTCGTAAGAAATAATTTAACAGATATTTCAGAACTAGCATAAAACATTTCACTGCAAAAAACAGCTCTGTATGCAAACAGCATGGAAAAATAGGAATCTAAACTTAACAAGTACTACATATATTTCAAAAGGGAAAAATTGATCATTTTCTTCTAAAAAAACCTTCCGCCACAAAATATAGTTCCTGGCTTAATCCTATTTGAATGGAATTTAATCGTTGTTTTTATTGGATATAGTTTAATTTGCATTGTAGAATCCAGACTTAATGTTAGAACTTAAAATTGATGCAGAATTTTAGAAATAAGGTACTGACAAAAGTCTGCTCAAAAGCTCAGGATTGAACCTCCTTAAACGCACCTTTAGTGTTCAGATCTATTCAAAAATTGTACGGCTGCTAGCTGAAATAAATATTTGGAGACACATGGAGCAAGATGTGAAATTGTATGAAACCGAACAAGTAAGCTTCTAAAAAAATCCTTGGGTTCGGAACAAGTAAAAAAAAATTTATAACAATGCAAAATGTAAATGTAAAATTAACATATAAAATTTCAAAGTCCGTGAAGATCCAAAAGTCACAGATCCAAATTTTTTTTTTTACCTCTTTTAATGTAATTTTAAAATTATATTTTTTTTTGGGGGGGGGGGGGGTTAAAATCCATATTGATACGTTAAAAATGTTAAAAACATTATAAAAGACAAAACATTATCTTCAAAAGTTGCTGATCCAAATCTTCATACATGTATGTGCTATAAATTGAAAACTATACACTGACTGCTGAATACAAATTGATTTCTTTTTCAACTAAAAGAGAAAATCAACAAACTTAAGGCTGAACAGGTATAAGACATGCCAGATCCAGGAATTTTTTTCCAGCGAGCGGAGACCAACTCCGGTTCAAAAAAAATATATATATCGGATTTGGAAACATTTTGCCTAGCCAAAAAAGTAAACAACTTTTCCTTACCTGAAAGACCTATAAGGATCATATTCAGCGTGACAATATGGCATGTCGTCGGTGTCTGGTTTTCGTAGTTAAAATTGATAATTAAATATTATAAAAAGTTTGTTCTAAATGAACGAATATTAACTAAAAATGATAATTTATTTAGTAATTCCATTTATCACTGACCCCTCCTTCCCAACCCAAAAAACTCTGTCCTTATTCATCTGTTATACTTGTTTAACTTATAAAACAAAAATTACCAATACCTCAAATAAAATTTTTTCTTATGAATTTGTTCAAATTACATGACAACCAAGAGGAACTCTGTAAATCACATGCTATTGAAGGAGATTATGTGAGTTACATGTATATACAAGTAGGTGAATTAATAAAGAATATATTATTGTACTGAGACCTCAGTCAGTGAAGTTCTTGAACATCAATACCGGTATTCCAAAATATAGACAATTTTATGGGTGACAGTAAACATATCTTCAGTTTTTGTCTCAAGCAATACTCTCCTGATTGATTATGATTTATAGCAAGTAAAGCTTTTCTTGTTACTTACTGATACCAAAATAAAATGTGCATGTGAAAAATGTGGATGCCATTGCCATTGTCATTCTATACTCGACACTTATATATATATATATATATATATATATATATATATATATATATATATATATATATATATATATATATATATATATATATATATATATCGACGATGTATTGTCAATTAACAATGGTTATTTCCATTCTTATGTTGACACGATATATCCCGGTGAGCTTGAAATAAAAGATACCACAGATTTTGACACATCTGTTTCATATTTGGATATTTTACTAGAAAAAGACGTTAATGGTATTCTAACAACAAAGCTTTATGATAAACGTGATGACCTTTAACTTTTCAATCGTCAACTTCCCTTACTTATGCAGAAATATACTCTTATCACCTGCATACGGGGTTTATATCTCTCAGTTGATTCGATTTGCAAGAGCATGCTCTACGTATGAACAATTTCTTGTAAGTTGTTGAAAAAAAGTTGACGAAACAAGAATATCAGCAGTCTCGTTTACAATGACCTTGTCAGCAAATACAATCTATCATTAAGTCAAATGCTGACTGACGTTTTTCATACTAATTGTTAGACCATTTTTTACACATTGAATTGTCGACGGATTTTCCCGTTATTTCCCGGACGGCAGGGGATGCTCACTCCTCCATGGCACCTGATCCCACCTCTGACATTTTAAAGGTCCGTGTTTGCTCTACTCCTGATTTGTATTGTTTGATGGACATTTGAGCTTGAATGCTGTTAACTCCATATATTTCATTAACTTTAATTTTACTTGTAAATGCTTTATAATGCAAATACAGAATTTCTGATCATAATATTAAGTTTCATAACTTTAAACCTTTCCTCTTTCATCATCAAAGTAATCATCATTTATGAAATAATTTTTTTTCCTCGAAAGGATTCTATGCGTACATTTTACTGTATATACCTGGGTAGATTTTTTAAAATTCTTATTTTTTTTTTTTTAATTATTTTAGCATAGTATTTTTTTAACACTTCTGATCCTGAATTTACATAGAAACCTAGCTGGAAAAATATCCGGTTTTTGGTATTGATATCTCTCAAACTTTTTTTTCATTTAATTGGTGTTTCAAAGAATTAAAAGCTCTTGGAGAAGTGTAACCACAGTTTGACTTACGAATTCTACTGACCCTAATTAAATATTTGTCTTTTTTAAAAAAAAAATAATTATATACACTAGAAAAAAAAACAACTAATGCATATTTTCTTTTTATATAGTTGTCTTAAAGTACTTTGCGTTAAAAAAAGAATTGCAACTCAGTAGATTTAGTCTATTTGATTTTTTTTTAAATGGTAACACTTTTTGTTCCAAGATGTAAAAACATGAAAACCTAAAAACAATCATTTTTTTTTATTTCTCAACCAATTTAAAAAAATAAAACTTTTTTGGAAATGGTTTTGATGGAACTTCAATATTAAATGTTGTTTTTTTTAATTCAAGAAGTTTTATAAAAATCATGTTCCATAGTTACATGCGGCCTCGGGCAACATTTTCACCTTCAGGTCCAACAAATCATATGTTGCCCTCATAACCAGTCTATAACTTTTGTTATACCCTTCACTTCAGATAGAACAATTTAAATGAAAACATTTGAACAGATTTAAGCAAAGTATTATCAATTACTTTCTTTGGAAAATTTTTGGCTAGATCAATAAAAATAAAACAATAGGAGAGAATGAAGAAATCGAAAATAAATTTATTATATCACAAAAATTATTTATATAAAAAAAAACTCTTTCATATAGCAAACGACAACTCTTGCAGCTCTAAACTTCGGCTATTTCCGTGTCGCCGAGATTGAACGACGATTAATTACTTGTGACGTAGCAGTGACGTTGCGGTCTAACAATTCTTATGTTGGACTGGCAGGCCGGTCAACAATAAAATTGTTAGACCGATGCAATAAACATTTCTTTTGTGGGACTTTTTATTAGTAATAAATATATAGAAAGATATTTATAAAGGTATAACAAAGACTTGTGAAAATGGCTTAATACGCTTTGCATGTTTCATATATAAACACTTGTCACCCCATGCCCAACCTCCCCATGTGGAGTTCTAGTGTACTATGTATATATGTTTGTGCATGATGAACTATTTAGTTTAGAGACATTTGAATGATGAGAGAACTGGATAAGACGAATATCAATGATTGTAAATGTGTACTTTACTTATGACGTAGTATAATTTAGCCATAGAGTAACAGTTAGTAACAGGGGCTGCCCCCCCCCCCCCCTCCCCAGAAGGAGGTTTTGCTGTAATATTGGCTTGAGAATTTTCACTGACAGGCCGATTGCATGCAGTGCTTGTGGCCATCGGTCAAATTCTCCCACGTTAATGAATATATTATCAAAATCCTTTCTTGTCTCAAGAGAAGTTTGGAGCCCCCGCCCCCTCCTCGCCTTCGAAATACATTTATCGAGACTGTGAATTTTAATTTTCTTTGTTTTTTTTGTGTTCGTTTTTGTTTGTTTGTGTGTGTGTTTATTGTTTTCTTGCTTGTCAAAATTTTAAAAGAAAGGTTGTCAATCATTGCGACGTGCTTGGTAATTCAAGGCAAAGGAACTAAATTTTGTCTCCATATGCGATATCGGTAGATCTGTATGGGCATACTTATTGTAGAGTAAAACCCAAATAAATTAAGTCTGCAGAGACCCAAACATGATTTTAAATAACGATAATCATGTGACTAAGAATGAAAACATACTAGTACTAACATGGTTCTTCTTTAATTCCATTTATATATTCTGATAGACGTATGTGAGTTACATACAAAGCAAATATTTCTCTTTTCATAGACTCTAAAGAAAACTGGGTTTTTCAAATCTTCAATGACTTTGATAAGAGTCCCGCCACTGGACAGTACGTGTACATTGTTACTGCCGTAACCAGCCACATATATATTGTCCAAAGAATCTTTGTCCAAGCCGTTCGGTCGCTTAAGAGTAGGACTGCTATATGTCCATATTTCATTCCCCTGACCGTATATAGCTGTCACTTTGTTCGTCAAATAATTACTATACACAATATGCCCCTTTCTCGTGACCGTAACATATCGAACACCATTGGCTGTTGGATAACTCTTGACTTGCTTGCCTTCCGTGTTTAGCTTATCAACGGACGTGAGACATGCTACATAAAGACAGTCGCCATACACCGCCAATCCATAACATTTCTTTCCAGCAGAAATACATAGAGCTGACTTTTCCGAATACCCATCAGCACTCAAGCTAGATGTATTTAAATCATAACCCGAAGGCATATACTGAAATTCCCTCCACAGCACAATATCAAAAGGACATCCAATATTTGTTTCGTGTTCAAAGTTCAAACTGTCACTAGTACTGTTCAAAGAATACATCAGAAGACTACCATGAGATGAACAATTTGTGAATAGTATGCATCTATCACTTAGAATTACCATACTTCGAATATCGATAGGCTTTCTCTTTATCTCCACGCATGATTTTAATTCTAGTGTTTTCGTAATTATTCCCTCTCTCTCTTCCCTCATGTCACAATTTACTTTCGCAAACTTCAATACATTCGGTATTTTCTCTAATTCAGCAGTTACAACGGATTTTAAACTACCGTGCAATGAAACTGTTCTAGAATTTCTAATGTGTTCAAGTTTTTGTTGACTGTTTTGGAACTCCATGACAAGCTCTACATCAGTGAGACCTTTAACCTTCTCTAATGCCTTCATACAGTAGCGCATCAGCTGACTTTTATCATTTACTGACTCAACATTTCTGGACATTTTTTCTTTACTTTCCTTAGAGTATTTCGATATTTGATCTAGACACTCACTTTCAAGTTTTTCTAAATGTTGAACAAGTTTAACCCTCATATTTTGAATCTCGGTCGTGATCTTATCAGTAGCATCTTCGATCAGGGAAATATTTTCCTCCTGTTTTTCTTTAGTCTTACAAAGTTTGTTTTCAATATCTCCGATATCTTTATATAAAGCTACATATGCGCCACTCTTTCTTATCTTCTCTGCTTTCTGTTCAACGGTTTCCACGCTGTCACATTTCCGGTGATCAGTGCTCACACACATTGTGCAACAAAGCCGATCGTGGTCATTGCAATAAAGTTCTACTGGTCTGTTTTTGTGTGCAGTACATGTAGTGCTTTTGAAATTCGAAACGTCGCTAGCAGCTTTAATGTCAGTTAAATCACAAATTTTATGATCAAACGACATACGGTTGATTTTGTGGTACTTAGTACAGTTTTCACAAAGGGCCTCGTTACAGGACAAGCAAAATTCCCTTGCCTCTTCCTCCTCTTTTCCTCTTTTGCAGGCCTCACATAATTTTCTTTGCTCCCTTTGCTTGGAAAATTCAGATAGCACTTGATTAATTCCAAAATATTCACACCATTCATTAGGATTTCCGGATAAAATGGGTGGTGGAGTAAATTCCCGGCATAAAGGACAATGAAATCCCACAGGGTCCACCTTACACCGACACGATGATACAATGTAGGACGATAAACATCCATGACAAAATGTGTGTGAACACGGTAAAGTACGTGGAGTTTTAAATGCTTCAAAGCAAATAGAGCACTTTGTTAAGTCACCAATGTTGTCAATAGTATCTGGTAAAAGTGCAGTTGCCATACTCGAATCCAAACCGGGAAACTAAAACCGGGCAATGTGTGAAGTAGACCCGGAAGTCAATCTGGGAGTGTTAATTCGTACAAGATATTTATTCGCTTCTTAATTTTAACGACACAAAAATCTTTTCCTAACTGTTAACCTAGGCGCGTTTCTAGCATTGTAAAAGCTGAATTCTTGAAATGTTGCACGAAGATAAATAAATGAGTTATAAACGATAAAGATCAATCATATGATTTGTACTGGCTTAAAATGTAAATGTAAAAGAAATCTGATATATATATATATATATATATATATATATATATATATATATATATATATATATATATATATATATATATATATATATATATATATATATATATATATATATATATGTAATTTATCACCATATCAATTATTTAATTTGACCAGTAAGGTCAGTATAAAAACGACTAGTTTTTAAAGCTTTCAATTGCATGCACAAGACACATTATATAAACCAAAGTTGTACTGATGTGGGCAGTATGTGATATGTACATGTGATGATACATGTAATGACATATGACTGATTGTCATAATTATGGAAACACAGCTCGTACTTCAAATATCGTTAACCCAGGTTAAAAGCTGGAAAAATATATGGTTACGGAAAAAGGTATGGTACGGACACAATCGCATGAGAAAAGGAGCATAAGAGAACAAAAGTTGGAGTTTCAGTTAACATTAAATTAAATTTCTTACCAGATATCTTGCAAGTTTGAAGGTGGCTTTTTTGACATGTCAGTGGAGATCACGGTCAAAGATGAAATAATTATACGGATTAAAGCTTTATTTGAAGAGATTTTATGTAAACATAATTTCTGGTGATTCTTTAATACTATAATTGGCAAATGGACCTTAGTGAAATGTACACCATTTCTTCTAGGTGATGTAATGTGAACTTTATCAAAGGATGTGAGATACAGAATACATATAAACGTCTAGTTTTTTAAATGGATATGTCCCTCTTATTTTCTTATATCATGAAAAACTCGTTTTAACGTTTTAATATTAAGATCTGTGAATACGTTACTGAAAAATATGTAGACAATAATGATATTTAAAGCCCAGTAGATCATTGAATACAGTCTGAACTTAATCTTACACGTCTTTATTCGTGCATTTGGAAATATCATAAAACTGCATATGAATCAAAAAACTGTTGTAAATGATCAAAATAAAATGTCAAAGCCATATTGAATATAGTGTATTACAAAATATAAATAAATCATATAAAATATCAGATCCCAAGATAACTTAAACATAAAATGCAAGAGTTACTGTTCATTGCTTATTTCTTACATTGTTAGCAAATAAATGATAGGCCTAACACACTAGAATAATTCTCGGTTTCGAACTAATATATATAATATTTAAATATTATACCTACTTTATATACAATACATGTATTTTTATATACATTTATACATAATTACCTTTAATTTTGTTATAGTTTAAATGTTCATTGTAGAAATAATTAAATTGCAAATGCGTTCAATTTTTAAATTAAACTGGTTGACAATGAGGGATTTGGCATTTCTCTCAATCTCTTATTTAAATTTCAATTTAAAGCAAAATTATTCCTTCCAATTCAGTCGGAAAATACAGAAACATTTTCATCATTTATAAACATTCAAATATAGACGGAAAAAAAGATTGCTGATTTAATAATTTCAAAATAACATAAATATTTCATATTTTAAATATGTATTTTTTCTGTTAAGAATAATAATCTGCATCCAGTTGTAAATATAAAGTTCTGAATTTGTTAGCGTTACAAATTCTCCTTCAAATTTTTTTTGTAGGTACATTTTAGATGATTCTAAAATTAAAAGGAGCAAAGTTATTAAGTGAAAATCTATTTGAACTTTGGATGAAATATAAATGAGCAAGATGTGTAGCAAATGCTAGTATGTATATTGTGTTTAAACTATTAAAGGATATATATAAAACAAACATCCTCAGAGTGATGCATAAGCAATACTAGTCCCCTACCGACATGTGTAATCTGGTACTCATAACACATACAACCAATATACACATGTACTTATTTTGTTGAATTGAGCGTCTTGACTCTTCTTCAAGTAGGCTGTGATAAGCATTTCACTTTGTACAATTCATTATGACAGCACCCACTGCACACACAACAAATGCTTTCCTCTTCAAACACTTTGAAAAATACAGGCTTTTTTTATCCCTTCAAAAATTCCGAGAAGTTCCCCTAAGCTGGACAGTACATGAACTTTGTTACTATCATAGCCAGCCACGTAGATATTGTCGGAGGTGTCTGTGTCTAAACTATGAGGACACATCATATTGGGACGTCTGTAAGACCATATTTTTTCTCCTTGATCAGTAATGGCAGTAACTCTGCTTGTTTCATAATTTCTTATAATGAACGATATGCCCTATTTTTGTTACAAGGACATAAAGAACTCCATTAGATGTTGGTAAAGTTTTAATCAAGTGACCCATTGTGTTCATTTTAACGATGGACGTAAGACATGCCACATACAGAAAATTACCCCACAGAGGAAGTCCATGGCATTACTTACCAACTGAGATAGTGCACACAAATTTATATCCTTCAGCGAAAATAACCTTTATTTCACAATCAGAAATACCTGAAATACATTCCTCGAATATTTGAATTTTTTTGTGTAAACCGACTGAGGCATGATTTTATCATTAATTGTTTAACATTCATTGTGTTTTTAATTCCTATCTTATCTACCACTTCAGACATTTCCACACTTGCAAACTTTGACACTTTGAAAAGAGCTTTCAAGTCATCATTTATACTAGATCGATAGTGATAGAGATGATGGCCCTATTCGAGTATTTCTAACAAACCCAAGTATTTGATGGCTTTCGTAAAACTCCCTGACAATTTCAACATTCCGATCTTTAACTCCCTCAAGAAATTTTTTGAAGTGCTGCATAACTCAATTCGGTCATTTGTTGATTCGGTCTTCTCTCCAGTTTTACTTTACCCTCTTCTGCTTTCTTAACTACAATGTACCTCCCCAAGGCAATCACTTTCAAGCTTTTCAATGTGTTAAATAAGTTTCATTTTCAGAATTTTAAAGTTTTGTTTTATTTTTTCTGACTCCTCGTTAACTGTTACAATGTTTTGGTCCTGTTGCTTTTTGCTGTTATTAGGGAATATTTCCTCGATCATTTGCTATTTCTTTCAGGAAGAATTCATACATTCCACACTTTCTGAGCATTTCAGCTTTCTGTTCAGTGGTTTCAACGCTGTCACATTTTCTATGATTTGTACTGACACACATTGAACAACAAAATTCTCCATGGTCATTGCAATAGAGTTCTATTGGCCTATTCTTATGGATGCTACACTCTATTCTTTGTTTGGTTACTAGTATATAAATGTCGCCAGGAAAAGTAACATTATTAAAACTACGAAGTATGTGATGTTCGGTCATTCTGTTTCTTCTGTGTGACTTTGCACAGTTGACACACAATTTCTCAGTGCAAGACAGACAATATACAATTCACATTACGCATAACTTTGAATGTCCTAGTTTCTTTTTTGTGCTAGTAGAAAACTGATCGAAAATATCGATTTTCACAAAAGGATGTAAAGATGCAACTTATCTTGCTGAAGCTAGATTTCTTTTCTGAAAAATTCTGCACAATCATGTGTAACATGTACTGAAGGAGTCCCATTTCGATTAGAATTAAACATCATACTAATATAAGATTTAGTTGCGATTTAAACCCAAGGATTAAAATACTAATAAACAACATTTGTTTTTAAAGGGTTGCAGGTAACTTTGTACTATACAGTCAATCTCAATGAAGGAGCGGCCGATCTATTTGTGTAGTATTAGAAAGTGCACGCGAAGAAAGGTGTTTTTTAGTGTTCCTTATGGAAAACATATACAGATTTCCCAGAAATTATTGAGAATTTTTTTTATAATACATTTATCTAAAATAATGGATGAATAATATATAATATAATTTAATGTAACTATTTTTATTTTTTAAAAATACCCTTCTTTCTTATGATACATGCAATTTTCATGGATAACTTCCTATTTATTTTATATACTTCCTGTTGTCGACTGATGTTCAAAATTACTGCTTTTGAAAATACAAAGCTTATTTAATTAATGTATAAGTAAAGGGTTGTTTTCTGAAACACCGAATATTTCACCGTCTTCTTTGTATTGTGTTATACAAAATATTTAAAAAATCAGTTAAGGAAAAGAGTTTGTAGGCCTAGTAAACTAACATTTATTTAACACATCAGTTAGAGCAACACTAAATGTAGTAAAATGGGGTTTCATTCCTAGCCCTACCAGCTCTTTCCCTCTGCCGAATTCCTTTCCATTTTTCAATATTTTATATGAGTGATCAGATGGTATATGACTTTTTATGACTTTATGACTTTTCGACACTTTATTCAATCATTACTCACGATAAATTGAAATTAGGTCTATTGATAACAAAGACAAGTGTTTTTTCAAAAAAATGGAACTCGGAAATGTTCAGATTTTGTGATTGGTCATCTACAAAATTACTTTGTAAAAATATCAATCTGATTCTGGGGTTGATATTAAAAATTTGCTGGAGTTCCTCATTGACATCTTTGAAGTCAATATTCTGTTGGAATTTCAGTGGTCACTAATTGTGCGCCTTTTTTTTATATTCCTACGAAGCAGAATTTATTCAAAAACTTCTAAATGAAAAGAAGAAAACACTTGTTGTGGCCATCAACTCGACATTCAGATATATCGACGACGTTTTATCAATTAACAATAGTTACTTCCATTCATATGTCAATTCGGTATATCCCAATGAACTCGAAATACAAGACACCAATGCTCCTCAACGTTGAATTTTGCTGCAGAAATATTAAAGTTGAGGCAACGGCGAAACTTTAACGTTGTTTCAATATCAAATAACAACCTTGAATAGACGTTGAAAATATATTGAAATTAAATTGATTTATAGCTAAATTTTGGATGCATATAAAGGTTGAGGCAAAAA